TGTGTCCAATAACACGTGTCAAGAGATATTTTAACAAGTACACACAGGAGGATCTTAAAAATCTGTATTTTCCATTTGGTAATGAAATGTAACCTTTTAAGTTACTACTTTGTTTTTAAATACTCTGTATGAAAGTAAAGCAGTGGTTGAAGGATTAGGAAATGCAATAAAGGGAGTAACACATTATTTCTCTTGTACTAATGTTTTGAACATTCACACACCTTGTTATGAGTTGGGACCTTTCTGATTGTCACAATAAAAGTCCTTAATATTGTACAAAGAGAAGAATTTAGTTTCTTTTAATCATGTTGATTAATGCTAATTGAGGGGTGAATATCCCTTAAAGTTTCAACCTTCCCGTCACATGAACTAATCTAAACACCACGAGCTTCTATTCACAGCTCAAGCTCACGTTTCTTAAGTACATTGTGACCCAAATGATGCAGCTTTACACTTTACTCTGTTCGGTCCGGCCCTCCACAGCTGATGAGAGTCTCACAGTGTGTCGGTGTGAAAGTAGAAGCTCCCGAAGCAGCACTTCCTCTTTCATAAGAGTATGAGGTTCACGGGGCGTCCACCTCCCTTCAGTGCACATGCAGCTTCAGTTGCAGCTTCAGTTGCAGGTGGACCAGCATGTCGGGATGGAAACTGTGCTTTGTTCTTCTGCTGTACCTCCCGCTTTGCTTTAACTCTAAAGGTAACAACAACAAACACGCAATGCATCATACAATCAAGTGTTTTTTCTTTAAAAATATAGCAATCTTTAACTTACTATTGTTTGCAGTGAGTGAATTTAAAACCATCGGGAGAGGAGCTGACGTCACTCCCATCTGCAGCAATGCAACAGAGAACATAACGCTCATAGTGTGTAAGATCAGAACTAACAGGACTGGAGCAGAGTGTCGTCTGCTGTATCGATACGGAGGAGACTTTGAGCACGAATGTGACTCCAGGTTCACTCTTAAGATGGAGAATCAGACCGTGTTTCTCCACCTGACTGGTCTCACACCAGTGGACAGTGGGAACTACACCTGTGAGTGTTCACGTGGGGGCGAGACCGTTACCCTCCATCTGAATATCACCGTGGAAGGTAAACCCATTTCATACTTTTTACCTTTTTACAGAGTAAATAGCCGTCATGTTTCTGACAAAGAGCTTTTTCTTTACGATGTTTCGGGGGAAGAAGAGAGAGAGAGCGGCGTGACGTCACACACGCGGCTTCTAAACGCGTTGATCGGTGCAACAACAGTCATCTGTATAACTGCAGTTATCTTTGGGTTGATCTACAGGGGAAAACGTCACAGGTGAGTTTAATACTGTAATACACCTATTGGGAATAATTTAGCAGCATCAGACATATTTAACTGTATAAATATACGTTGTGGTGAAAACACTTCTTTTAGATTACAATTTGTTAGTTAAAGTAGATGTTTAAGAGACTTCAAAGGCACCACAGCAGTTACTGTTATCACTGTAGCC